TGCTCCTCAATTTACAATGGGATTATGCTCCAATTAACTCATTTAGTGTACCTAACCCACTGAAAGAACATTATACTTAGCAATAGGGCACTACAAAGTATCAGTTGTTTACCCTCTTGATCTTGTGGCTGATTGGGCAACTTTGATCAGATGTTCTGCCCCACTGAGAGAGACTGCAGTGCATAATGCTATGTMCAAGAAAAGTACAGAATTCAAAGTATAGTTTCTACTAAATAGGTATTGGGTTTGAACCATCATAAATTAGAATGATCTTAAGTTGAACCATGTAAATTGGGACATCTGTACTTCCTAGTCAAAGGATTATGCTATTTACTTTTTGTGTGTGAGGATTGAATCCTTGCACATACTTAAGCAAGCATTCTACTACTGAGMTACACCCCCAGCCCTCTTTAATTTTTTATACCTTTGTTTTATTTATTTTTATGCGTTTTGCTGAGGATCAAACCCAGTGCTTCACACACTTATTTTATTTGTGAGTCATCATCTAGCTAAATTGCCCAGGCTGGCCTCAATTTGCTATCCTTCTGCTCAGCCTCCGGAGTAGCTAGGATTTTGGTGGTGTGCTGCTCGCTCGGCTTGCTGGCTACTTCAAATGTATTAATTTTAATCCTATGAAATTTCAGGTATTTKTGCTCATTTGGGGAGCATATATACTAAAATTGGAATAATATAGAATAGATTAGCATTCCCTGTGCAAATTCATGAAGCATTCCACATGAAAAAAGTTACAAATATTTGTTTATATCCTACAAAAATGGTTCAAACTAATACATATGGTTTAAGCTAATACTACCTCATTTTACCTTCAATACAACAGCCCTATGAAATAGGCACTATTGTCTCCAGTTCAAAGAAGAGAAAATATTGGTGCAACATGTCTATAATCCCAGCTACTAGGGATCTGAGACAGCAGGATCACAAGTTCAAACCCAACCTGGGCATTCAAGCAGACCCTGTCTCAAAAAATAAAAGGACAGGGGACGTAACTCAGCCATAGAAAGCTTGCCTTAACATGTGTGAGGCCCTGGTTCACGCCCCAGTATTGAAGAGACAGAGGGGAGGGGGAAGGGAGAGAGAGAGAAACGGAGAGACMCAGAAAGACAGAGACAGGGGTAGAATGAATAAAGACTCAGAAAATGAAAAGTTTTTATTTTAGATTGCACAATAAAGTGCTGAAACCAGGCTTTGAACCTACCTTAACTTAGAAGGTGAGGGTACTTTCCATACTGAAGCTACCAGGGGAACAAATTAGTCAAACTGTAAGATATTTGCCTCTCACTTTCTAAAGAGATTCTTGGAGTCAGTAATAYCTGGGGAGAGGACGGGGCTCTAGGCCTCTGTGGGCCAACTCCCAGCGTTCAGTAAGGAGGATCCCTCCCAGCAAGCAGGTGGATTGCCTTACCTGCGCATTCCTCCGAACCACAGAGGGAGCCAAACGCAAATATTCCTCCTTTGGAGAGCACTCCGCCCACTTCCCGGAGCCTCTCTTCTTTCTCCACTCCCCCCCTTCAACCCACTGCGCAGGCGCCACCTTCTCGCTCCGTACCCCTCCCAACTAGCTACTATTGGGCAAGCGCCCTGATACTGGCGTCCGGAGCGGAGGCGCGCCCGGCTGCCGGCCGCGCGGCGGTTGGTCAGGAGAGAGACACGTGATCGCGGTTGTCGCGGCGCGAGCGTGCGCAGAGTGGCCCAGCGCACCCGTGACGGAACGACTAGGCGTGGGGTGCGCGACCTCGCCCGCCCGGCCTGGTCCCCGCCCCTTGGCTCGCCGCTCCGCCCCCGCGGGGCGTCCCGGGCCGCTCGTCCCCTCAGCGGCGGCCGCGCGCGGCCCGGGGTCGCC